TTTTGCTATTTTGTTCTGAACATATCTGATATGAGATTTCCAGGAGAATTTGTCATCAACTATGACACCTAGAAATTTAATTTCATGTACTCGTTCTATATTAGCTCCCCCAATTTTCAATTGCAGTTCATTATCTAGTCTACGATTCCCAAATACCATACATTTAGTTTTATCCAAATTCAGAGATAGTATATTACTATCACACCATTTCTTTATCTTCTCAAGTTCCTGTGAAACCTGTCCAGAGAGTTGCTGTAGGTTTTCACCCGATGCCCATATGGTAGTGTCATCAGCAAATAAAACCACTTTCACTAAATCAGAAACCTTGCATATATCATTAATGTATAGTATAAATAATTTAGGTCCCAAAACAGAACCCTGAGGCACTCCACATACAATGTCCAGCTCACTCGATTGGTATTCACCCAACTTCACAAATTGCTGCCTCTGTGTCAAATAACTTCTAATCCATTTCAGAACCATTCCTCTGATCCCATATTTTTCTAACTTGTCCATTAATAATTCATGATTGATTGTGTCAAATGCTTTTTTTAGGTCAATAAATATCCCCATCGTGTATTTCTTCTCATCCATAGCACTTGTAATGTCCTCCATCAGGTCGGTAATGGCCAAAGATGTCGATCGGTTCGACCTAAAACCGTATTGGCAATCAGAGAGGATTTTATGTTTGTCAATAAATGTATCTAATCTGTTATTAAAGAGTTTTTCCAGAATTTTGGAAAACTGTGACAACAGAGGAACCGGTCTATAATTTGTGAAGTTGTGCTTATCACCAGATTTATACAGTGGAATAACCTTTGCTATTTTCATATTATTAGGGAACTGACCAAGTCGAAATGACATGTTAAAAATATGGGTTAATGGTTTGCATATCCCCTCAATTACCCATTTAACAGTTGTCATAGTGATGCCATCACTATCACTAGATGTTTTGTTACCACATTTATTCACTATCTCTATAATTTCCTTTTCAACTATGGGCTTCAAAAACATAGAACTCATGTTCCTTTCGATTGTATTATTATTTATAGTGACGGATGTATCATCTGTACAAATGCTTCTTGCTAAACCAGGACCAACATTCACAAAGAACCTATTAAACTTATCTACTACATCCTCCAATCTATTAACCGGTGTATCATTATCCATAAAATATTGAGGGTAGTTACTCTTGCTGGAACTGTTTCTAATCAATTTATTTAATATATTCCAAGTACCTCTCATATTTTTTTTATTATCCTCTAATACTTTAGAGAAAGATTGATGCCGCTATGGTCTTATTTATATGCAAAATATGAAGATAGAGCAAACAACTAGTTAGCTTAGCTTAGCTTAGCATAAAGACTGAATCAGTAGGAAACAGGTAGCCCGTCTCAGTCCGAAATTATTTGAGTCCAGCTAAAGCTCACTATGTGTCGTGTTTGATTAATCTGTTCAAAAACCTAAGTGTTAAAACAACCTGTTACCTCGGGCTGTTCCTTTACCTTTTTTCTGCACTCACATGTCTGTTATGTACACTGGAACTGTTTTAGTTTGTTCCTCTCCATGTTTTTAGTGAACAGATCATTTTCATACTGAGAGACAAAATCTGTTGTCCAAAACTTTGTCTGAATTTAATATGAGGCTTTATAGCAAAACAACAACCCACACATCACAGCTTAGCAACTGAGTATTGGCTTGAGAAGAGGCTTGAAAAAAATCAAAACTATTCTTTAAAACTATGCAGTGTGCTCTGCTACCTGTTGCTAGGAAAACATTCAGCAGTTCAAATTATTTCACTTTCAGATTCTCAATCATTTTAGAAGAAATTCATTCATCATAGGACAAACAGCCCCTTGCTGTCTGATTAGCCACCTTTATTTTTAAAGGGTAGGTTCACATAGAACATGACACCATTTTCACAGTTAAATAAATAAATAACTTTTTTTTAAAAGTTAGACACAAACAGGACAAAATAATAACATGATGTAATAGCCCTCTTGTTGTAAAAGAAAACAAAGAGAGAAAAATTTACTGTGCAATGAATGAAATGAATTATCCAGTTAATGTGTTTGAAGACACATTAAAAGAAACAAAGAGAGAAAAATTTACTGTGCAGTGAATGAAATGAATTATCCAGTTAGTGTGTTTAAAGACACATTAAAAGGACAGTTCACCTTTACTTCAACATTTCAAATGTTTAAGTGCTGAAAAAGAATGGGAAACACAAAAATGATACAAGATATGGGCCAAATCTTTTCATACAGGTAGTTTGTCTTTGTCTGCCTTGAAGTGTATATTTTGTGTGTTTTGTGTGTGTGTGTGTGTGTTGGTATCAGAGAGCTCCTCCTCCTTATTGTGCTGCGGACAATGCATTGTTCACAGCCACCTTAAGCCTTGAGCAACGAATCCATGAAAACATTAAAGATGTCACGTTGGTGCTCAGTGATAATCTCTGTGATCACTCGCTTCGTATGCATCTCTGTTACCAAAAGAAAAAAATCTGCCATGTGGACATTTCTTCTGTTTCTTCTTCTTTTATCCCTTCATGTTAAGCACTGAGATTTGTGCTGATGTTCTGCTTCTTTTGTTTTCTGTTCTTGAATCCTGAGGTCATCCAGCTTTACATCTTATATATTTTGTAGTGGTAGTTGTGTGTATGTGTGGTTGTGTGTGTGTATACATATATCATTTTAAATGTTGAATTTAACTTAAATTTTATTTAAAAAGATGAAAAAATATGTTAATCAACAAATTAGTTTAAGTAAAAATAAAAAACTACAATATAAAATTAGAATGATTTGTAATATATTAGCAGTAAAATGTAGCGTATAATCAAATCTAGAGCAAAATATAAACATCGTGATGGTAAAAAAACAAAGCACTTGCATGTAAAGCACCTAATCCCACCTCTCACCCTTTTGTTCAGAGAATCATAAATTGCTAAAGTGTAAATCAGATAAAACATTTTTATTTCAGGCTGAAGAAATGAGCTAAAATGATTAAATGTTCATTTATAGTTGAAGATTATTAGAATATTACCAGAATATTTTAGGTTTAAGGTGTGTATGTGTCACGGTGTGTGTGTCGGCGCCGCAGGGCGTTCTGATGTAACTTCCTGTCTCTTGAAGGAAATCATGTCTTCCTTCTTTGAGGAGCTTCCAGCCCTCGGGCCAACCTGAGGGCAAACACAACCTGACCCATTTCAGGAGTGTGTCTGTGTGAGTGTGTGCGTGTATCCTCGGGCCTCTGTTTTTGTTAGATACATAAGATCATATAGAAAATCTGAGTCTGAAGATGAAAGTGTCGACCTATGTCAGCTTTTTCAAAATCCAGCATGGAATGGTTTGGGATTCAGACAGCTAGTCATCTGTGTCAGTGGATTAGAGACAGTGTGAGATCATCTGGTTTGCCCATCAAAGAAGTAGCACCATCTTTAGGTCAAAATACCAGTTTGTCCAACAGCCTCAAATATACTTTAGAATCTTTTCCACTGCCTGGTACCGGCTCAGCTTGACTCTACTCGCTTTAGGTACCAGGCTCTTTGTTTTCCACTGCAGATTGTACCCTCTCAGTGTAGCTGGTTGTCTCAGAGATGCTCCATGAAACTGCTGTGAAGTCATTGTCCCATGATGATGGCAGAGGAGGCTCAAAGCTGTTAAAATTACCCTAACCCACTTTATTAAGTTTTGATATTTTGTCAGATGAAAAAATAATCATCTCGTTTTCAAATATGTATTCAGTCTATCCAAGCAAAGCCAGTTACAAATTTGCACCAATGTTTTTGGAGATATGCTGACCCCCTAACCTGCCAGCTAGCTAGCTCATCTTAGCAAGCACAGCTATAGCCATTGTGCTCATATTATCACATTCACTATGGGCTATGTGATAAGACATATGATGTGGAGCTTCACTATAATGGTTATATTAAATGGTAATATAAAAATACCAAGGCCTCTGTCACCATAAATATTGCCATCTATAACACTCATGAGAGAGAAGTGGTAGCTACTATTGAATGAATAAAGAATGAGCGACTGGTGTCATTACATATAAATATCCTGGTTAATCAGTGGCAACATTTTTGCAAAGTAATGATGAATATGTGGTACTGAAAGTACCTGGGACCTATATTTATTGTGACCTCTTGTCCAGATTTCTCCAAGAGGTTTGTCTTCTTGGGTGGATGTAAACAATACTGATTGGCCCTCCACCTCTGTTCTCAGAACCTCCTTGTCCATTCAGCACCAAGGACAGTGACCACACTGACTGTTCTCACCAGGCTGATTCACAGAAATACACTAAAACTATTGTATATCTCTCTGTTCAATGGACCAACAGCTGTTGGCAGCTTATGCACTATTAAATCAGTGGGGAAGCAAATTGTTTTTATTTATTTATTATTCCTTATTATTATTATACCTTGGCCTATGATGCTTTCCATGGAAAAACCTTCACCACAGTGAAGTTGGGAATCTTCAGTAGAAAAAGACTGAAGCCTGACACATTTGTGCCTCTCAGAGACACATTTACAGAAAGGAAGAGCCCCTGTGCTGCAGCATATAATGAGATTTTAGGCAATAGTGTGCTTAGTGTGCTTCAGACATTGTAGCTACAGTTTGAAGAATACCCTTTATTGTTTTATAGCTCCATAAAGAGCTGGTTTTCCCAGTTTGGTGTTGTCTGGCCTGCACAGACCTCAGTCCCATCCAGCACCTTTGGTATGAACCAGAATGCCAATCAGGGCTTATCAGTCGCCATCAGTGTTGGAGCTCACTGGTGCTTTTGTGTCTGAATAGGAACAAATCCCTGCTGCCTAGTTCTAATATCTCAAAGGCAATTCAGAAGAGTGGAGGTTGTTATAGCAGCAGATTAATATTTGTGGTTTCGGAATTATCTTTGATTAACACATATGGCCAGAATGGTCAGGTGTCCACGTAATGTAATGTAATGTATCTCAGAACATGGGCCATGTTTCAGCTTTTCACTCCCCCCTCTCCGTTGCTCTCTCAGAACCCGGGGTGAGCAGGAGCCTCCAGTTCCTCCAGCGTCCATCCAGAGTAACAGCTCTGCTGGGTACCGATGCCGTGCTGGAATGTGCTGCCTCTGGATACCCAACTCCAAGCATCCAGTGGAGGAGAGGAGAAGAACTGATCCAGAGCTGGTGTGTCTGATTGACTACCAAACAGACTGTGTTCATATCAGGCTTAGCCTAGCCTTAGATAACTATGTCTGGACAACACTGTCCCAGTCCCGGTATATTAGAGCCTCACATGCATGGCCCAGTTATTTGTATAAGTCTGGTGATATATATGTATATATTTTTTTCTTGTCAACCAATTCCATGTAATATCTCCTATTAACAGGTTCTGTGTGTGCAACCAAAGCTTGATGTATTGTAATACTCTCTGCCATAGAGCTCCATTGTTGTCCAGTAACTATAAATAAATCATCATGTCACTGAGCCACAATGCTGCATGCAATAGACTGCCATAGTAGTGAGTCCTAAAACCTGGAACTGAGTTAGCATTTTTGCACTTATGGTTCCCTCACCCTGAAGTCTTTGGGATTTTTTATTGGGTTTTTGTTTAGAGGGCTGAATGGTCTGTGGTTAACACAAGGCCAATAGATTTTCACAGTTTGTTCTATGAAATAAAATATGTCAGTAAATACCAAGCAGCAACCTCTGAGGCTGAGAAATGAAGCCAAAGTGGAAGTGCCAAAATCTGCAGTTTTTTGAATGGCCACTTGAGGCTGGCTCCAAAAAGGACTCAGTCCCCACAGACTCCCATGTTAAATTGCCAAACTTTATAGCAGAACAACCTGGTACATAAATAAGAAATAAACATGTTTACAACCTGGTACATAAACTGATTAGGTCCTTATAGCTAATTTCCCCTTCCATGATAACTGTATTGGGGGTGAATTCTTTAATAATTCCCCAGTTTAAATTATATTGAGACTAAGTTATGTATTATTAACAGCATGGCTAGTTTGAGTGATAAGTGTGAGGGTCCTGCCATTGGTGGCTGGCCGCTAGTTGTCTCATGAGCTCCACTCATGCTCCACCTTTTTGCCCATTTTTGGATTAGACATAGCAGGTAGAATGAACTGCTACCAAGATCGCAACAGCCAGACTTCATAGCTGTTCTTCAGAACACCAGTGGGTGACATCACAGTGGGTTTGTCCAGTTTTTATATACAGTCAGTGGTAAATACCTGACTCATGATTTTTAATGCCTTTAACATTTTTAAAAATGTAAAAAAAAATTCAAAATTAAAACATTTTTAAAAACTAAAAAAGGTGGTTGCTAACAAGTGGCTAAATGAGACCACAGAGGCTATCTGGGACAGTAACCATCATCACACTGAACAAAAAGGCTCATCTACTCAGTAGCCTGCTTTACAGTCTCATTATTTTTCAACTCATGTCCTTGCAAACTATTCTAACTAACAGACATAGCCGTGATCATTAGCTATATCAGGTCATGCTAACAGGAAAGGATTGTGGAGAACAGGTAAGTATGCTAAACCAAATTGCAAGTTGGAAGCCATGGTTTTGAAGTCATGGGACTGTGGTATAGTTCATTTATAGCCTAACAATAGCTCTCTACCTTTGGTTATTGTATTTGGGCTTCAAAAATCATAAATGTGGTGTTCACATGTCAAGATGATCTTGCTGAACAAAACATGTAAATATCATAAACAGTTGTTTGTCACAGATCATAGTTTTTGCAATAATCCAAAATCTTATGTAAAAAATCCCATTGGCTTTTTTTGGAGGGAACCAGGATCATACTAACTTCTGGGTCGGCCTACAAAAACACATCATCCCTACTACACTCTATGGGTAGCATGTTCATTACCATGAAAACATCCACACACACTTGGTTCATTACATCAGAGTGCCACAGACAGGGTAGGGAAGCAAAAGATTTGTTGGCAGTGAGATAATATAAAATTAATGAGACTGATCCTTTAAGTATCAGATGGATTGTGTGAGTTATCATCTGACGGAACAAACATACAAAAAGAAGACAAAATGAAAATGACCTCACTCTTTCTGTCCCTGTAGGAATAAGAAGTACTCTTTGCTGGCTGGCAGTAATCTGATCATCAGGAGTGTCACTGATGATGACTCTGGCAGTTACAGTTGCACAGCCTTCAACAAGAACCACAACATCACTGCACATGCAGAGCTCAGTGTGCTGGGTGAGAATTTTTTTTTAACCTATATGTTGGTAGTAAAAGTAGAAGGAAAACAGGAAATGAACGAAGAGGAAGGATACCATGCAACAGAGGTCCCCACTTGACTTGAGCTAGGAATGTTGTGTGTTGTGTCTTAAAACCCTAGACAGTTAGCATGCTCGCACTTACACCCTAAAATCCTTTTATACCTTTAAGAGGGATCTCACTCTGTTCAAAATACACATATATCCTCACACATGTAAAAATATAAGGACACACAGCTCTAGTGCTCAGCGCTGAGTGGAAAATAAAGAAATGAAGCCATGTCCCTTCTCAAAGGTCCTAAGGGAAGCAATTTTTTAAAAGAAATCCTGACTGGAAACCGTTAACAGCCTGACAGTCTAAAAAACAATAAAAATAAATAAAGCTGAATAAAAAAAAGTCATCCTCATCCCTCCACTGACAGAAACCCTTCTGGCTACAGACGTTCGGGGACTGAGAATCACACCCAGAATCAAATGCAGTCATGAAGTATAAAATTGGAGCTGTCTTTTTTGCTTCAGGAGGTATTCATAAATAAAATATGTTTGTATTTATTGTCTAACAGCTCTTCAGCTGCTGGTGGATTCACACACTGAAGCTGCTCATGTATTCAGGTGAATTTCGACATCTGCACAGCAGCTGATTGTTGGTGCGGTTAAAAGTAAACACAGTGAAGGATATAGTTTTGTTGTCCTTTTATTGGATTTCTATAACAAGTAACAAAATATGACAACAACATTCTTTTAATATGGGTCTGAACATCCTTACACTGTTATCGTGCAGTAATGTTGCTTTTATGTTGCGACAAACACGTTAATCCTGTAAGTGAAATAGTGTGACCACGTGCCTGAAAATGATGCAAATTAAAATAGTTTCTGTTCTTGATTCCTACTCATGGATGGATTACTGGACAGGCCTACTGCATACAGGCCCAGGGGCCGTGATGGCTAAGGATGTCCCTGCAGTTTCTCTGCAAAATATCCCAGAAAAAGACACAAAACAACCCCAAAAAGATGCAACAGCATCTAAAACGAGATGCAACATATCCTCAGAAACAAATGCCAAATGACACAAAGTGATGCTAAATGTCCACAAAGACACACCAAACCACTGCAAATAGATGCAAAACATGTTTAAAGAGATTCTGTTTCAGTCTTAGGTTTTGTATGCAGGAGGGTGAGGGCCTTTGTTAGGCGGGTCCCTGTCTGTGCCCAGGGACCCATTGTATCATAATCTACCTACTGTATGTCCCTACTAAACAGCCAAGTGGTCTCTTCCAGCTGAATAACTGTAAGTGATATGAAACCAGAGGCACAGACAAAGTTATACTGTATGTACATAGATATATACTGTAAATGTGTGTGCATTGAAAGTAATGTTGTTGCTGTTGTATTGGGATAATAAACTGACAGAGCTGTGAGGCTGCTTTTAAACACTGTATGGCCTTTTACACTAAAGAAAGGATTCAGTAAACCTCTCTAGCATATCTTCAGGTCACTGCGTGATATGAAATGCTCAATTTACTATAATGTTTTTGTGGAAAATAGTAGCCTCATAATAGATAAAAAGTCATTTTGTTTTACAACGCAGGTGAAGATTTGTGCAGTGACAGTTTTGATCTGTCCCTACTAATTATTGGGGAAGTTCAAATTTGCATACAAAAGTTTTGGCTTCTAACAAAAGGCTGAAATTGATTTTTATTCATTTCAACTGGAACAAACCAGCACTCTCTCGCACAAAATCACCTTGTCTTGAGGGCTTGGCAGACAGGATTTTACATTATTTCATCTTCCGTTAGCGTGATTGCAAGGTATACAGCAGAACTATGATGTTCCTCTTACAAAGTGACAAACAGGAATGTGCATTTACACATATTTGAATTGAAAACTTTTCTTTTTCTTTGATTTAAGACTAAGTAACTTTCTTGGAAATTCTCGGAGTAATACATCCATGGTTATTTGTCCCCATAAGGCGAGTGTCTTAGGAAATCTAACAATGGAGACAAAATGTTGGATTGAAAAGGGTTTGTTGAGGGAAAGTAAGGAATCATCTGTTAAGGTCTTTTGAGTTCATGAAGAGATTTGAATCTTCTATCATTATTAATGTAGTCCCAAGTTATTGTCTTGACCACACATAATTCCTATACAAGATTTTGAACACACAGACTATCATCAGACAGCTATTCAACTACAGTTGGATCATGCATTGTACCTTTAATGAAAGACAGACAGATTTTTCTGTGCGCACAGAGTTAAAATCATACAAACAGAAGCAGCTGTTGTTTGTTTGACTCTCGGGAGAAAATCTGCAAATTACTCTTTAAGTGTTTTCAGTCTCCTTCCAGCTGGGCCTCTCTCCTTACGTCTGTCCTTTTATGTCTTTGTCTCAGCGTCCTGCCTCAGTCTGTCTCTGTGTTCACATCCCATTCATATTCTGTTTACACTCTGCCTGCAAACATCACATGATGTTTACACTAAACAGGAGGAGTCTGTGTCTGCAGTATGTCACGTCTGGGATCTGATCATAAAGTGTGGTGTTCTGACATGTAAACATTATGGCTGTGGTTCCCAAAAACATGTCACTGCTCAGATGATAAGAGGATCTATTAGATCTTCTTAAAGTCACTAGATGTTTTGCAAAAGTATTGTACACTAAAACACTTTGTGTATGAAAAGTCCCAATCTGCAGTTAGTTCTTGCTCTAGACTTCTATTTATCGTGTCTTACCGTGCTCATGCATGGACCTGTTGCTAGTGGTCTCTGCCTGGTCTGACCTTTATTATCACCTCAGCTCACTGTCGGTGTGTTGTCCATCCTGCATTCACATCTCCTGGGCTCTGGTCATCTCCGTCACCCTGGTTGTTTGTCTACCACCCTGTCAAGTTATCTTTTTTATTCTTCTCCTCCATCCTTGCCTGTTCTTCTATCCACGTTGCTTCTCTGCCCAAGGTTGTTTGTGTGTAGTGGAATGAATTACATTAAACCTAAAACAATGTTAACCTGGGCTTATGCCTCGAGTACGTGAACTGGAAGAGGCTATGGAGGATATTTACTAAAACTGGTGTAAATTACAGTCAGGTGTGCAAAATACTGGCACTGCAAGTTTTCAGTGTAGCGCTGTATTTAACCATTCTGATGATGCAAATGAGCACAACCGCAGCTGTTTGAATACAAATTGAACTTGGTGCCTGTAACATGTATGTGTGTAACAAGAGGGAGCATAAAAGAATGTTTACAATGACTGAACTTTACTGTATATGGTTGAAGAAAACATATTTCAGAATGGTCTCCAGCCAGTCAAATCATCCTTTATTTTGTTTAGTGAATGAAGCATTAGTTTGACCTGAAAGCCTGTAAAAGTCCCTCACATACTCCTCTGGTGAGCGATACAATTTACAAACACTCACTCGCTCCTCAAAGATGTTGTTAACGCAGACGAAGTCTCAGATGACTAACAGCTGCCACACTGACAAGGCTGGAAATTTTACAGCTGCTTTCTCCTGAATTTTAGCCAGAGTTCCTTCTGTTACAGTGATGATTAATCAGGTGCTGAGGCTATTTGTATGAATTTCCATTCTCTTTTCCCTGTTTTTGCATCCCTGATCAGGGACACCTTAAAATGCATATTACAGGAGACCCAAAACACAAATTTTGTGGTGCCACTTTACTAAAACCTTAGTAAATACAGTATCTGCCTAGGTTTGGTCATGTTTTGCTGGGCTCATGTCACAACCCTCTGAATTGAAAAGTGACTGTGCTTGACCATGATTTGGGTTGATCCTGCAAAACTAAAAGTTTTTTGATTAACTTGAGTTTGCTTCACCTGTCTAAGACAGAAATTTATACCTCCTACCTGAATTTATGTTTTTGTTGAACAAAAAAGTAATACAATAACCCAGATGTTTAATCTTTTGGAAATATTGAACCATGTTCCTTTCCATGACTTACCTGAGTTATATTATCCATTGAATTCAGACATAGTCTTTTTTTTTACCGCCTGCATTTGGGTGCAGCTCTGCTGCCATTCGACAATAGCGGCTTGAAATTATATTGCACTTTTAAAAGAAAACTCATTCACCAGTGTTATATTAATTTTGAATCCTTTCATGAGGCTGGATGGATGGATGGAAACTGAGAATGTAAACAGTACAGGTCGACAGTACATCACGTATTTCCTTGTAATAAACGCCTCAGCTGTTTAGGAGTCTGATGGCAGAGAGAAAGAAAAAGTTTTTCAGTCTGGAGGTCCTACACTTCACACTTCTCAACCTCCAGCCAGAGGGTAGGAAGGTGAACAGTCCGTGCTGGGGGTGGGTGGGATCTTTGAGGATGGTGGCAGCCTTCCTACACACCCTACGGTGGTAAATGCTCTGCAGAGAGGGCAGTGGAGTCCTGGTGATCTTCTCCCCAGTCTTTACCACTCTCTGCAGGCGCTTGCGGTCCATAGCAGTAGTGCTTCCATACCAGACAGTGATGCAGCTGGTCAAGATGCTCTCAATGATGCAGCTGTAGAAGTTGC